TCTGTAGGAACCTTGTCATACACTTTCTCTAGGTCAATAAACACCATGTGCAGATCCTTCTTTCTCTCTCTGTATAGTTCCACCAACCTCCTAACAAGGTGTATAGCTTCTGTGGTGGAACGACCCGACATGAACCCGAACTTGTTGTCGGATACAAACACTGTCATCCTCTACCTCGCTTCAACCACCATCTCTCATACTTTCATGGTATGACTCAGTAATTTGATACCCCTATAGTTGTTACAACTTTGGATATCACATTTGTTCTTATACAATGGAACCACCGTACTCCACCTCCACTCATCCGACATCCTCTTCACCTTAAAAATAACATTAAACAACCCAGTCGACCACTCCACACCTGCTCTCCCTACACACTTCCAAAATTCCACAGAAATCTCGTCTGGCCCGGTCACTCTGCCCCTACTCATCTTACGCATAGCTCCCACGACCTCCTCGACCTCGATATGCCTGTAGCGCCCGAAGTCACGATGACTCTCGAAATGCTTCAATTCGCCTAGCATAATATCACAATCCTCTTTTTCATTCAGAAGTTTATGAAAGTAAGTCTGCCATCTTCTCTTAATCTGGGCATCTTCCACCAGTACTCTACCATCTTCATCCTTAATGCATCTCACTTGGTCCAAATCTCGAGCCTTCCTCTCTCTCAACTTAGCCAGCCTAAATAACTTCTTCTCCCCGCCTTTTCCCCCAGTTCCTCGTACATATGACTATAAGCCGCAGGCTTAGTCTCCGTGACCAATAGTTTAGCTTCCTTCCTAGCTACCTTATATCTCTCCATGCACGCTCGCCTCTTCTCCTCACCTATGCTCCCCACTAACTTCAGGTATGCTGCCTTCTTCGCTTCCACTTTACCTTGGACTACTTCATTCCACCACCAGTCTCCTTTGTGTCCTCTAGAGACACCTGTCGAGACCCCTAACACCTCTCTCGCAGACTCCCTTATACAGTCTACTATCGCTGACCACATAGTGTTCGCGTCTCCACTGCTCCTCCAAGCTCCCATAGCCGACAACCGGCACTCCAACTCTTGGGCTTTATCCTTAGTCAAGGCTCCTCACCTGATTCTTGGTTTTCCCCGAGCAGACCTTTTTTCTCCTCTTTATCCTAATACCAACATCTAGCACCAAGAGTCTATGCTGCGTCGTGAGTGTCTCACTCGGAATCACCTTGCAGTCCTTGCACAACCCGCTGCCACACCTCCTGAGGAAGAGATAGTCAATCTGAGTCTTCGCTACCGCATTTTAAAAAGTAACCAAATGTTCTTTCCTCTTCGGAAAGCTAGAGTTCGCAATCACCAACCCAAAAGCCTTAGCGAAGTCCAACAGCGAGGTACCTCCTTCTTTCCTCTCCCCAAAACCAAAGCCTCCATACACCTCGCCATAGCCACCTGCGGACGCCCTAATATGACCATTGAAATCCCCTCCTATGAATAGCTTCTCAGCAGGCAGAACTTGGCGTACAATCTCATCTAACCCCTCCCAGAAGCGTCGTTTAACATCCTAATCTAGGCCCGCATGCGGCACATAGGTGCTAACGACGTTCAGGGTGTACTCTCCAACCACCAACTTAATAACCATCAATCTATCATTCACTCGTCTAACCTCAACCACAGACTCTCTAAGTTCCCTATCTACCAAGATACCCACTCCATTCTTACCTCTCTGGACTCCTGAGTACCAAAGTTTATACTCGTCCGCATCCTTCGCCCTCGACCCTACCCACCTAGTCTCCTAGACGCACCTATATTGACCCTTCTCTTCTGGAGAATCTTCGCCAACTCTATAGACTTACCTGTCAATGTACCTACATTCCATGACCCGATTCTTAACCTATAGACACCCCTGCTTCTTTTACCTCCCTTGCCTCCCGACCCACCCCTAACCCCTGCCCCCTATAGATAAGTGATAACTAAATTAACAAGAATATTCTATTTTTATTTAATTAAGCGAATTCCAAGTCGGTATAATGCGACGTACATCTTGGAACCTTGACGTGTTTTAAAGTTCAAAGCTAAATCTAAAGCACACAATATTATTATTGTGTTGGAGCATTAGATTTAACATTAACACGAATTTGCTTGAGGTCTTGGGCGATGGTGGAACATACTTCATCGATATTTATAGCCTGTTTGATCAAGTTGAAAAATAAACTTATTTTGAGAAATGCTTTTTTAAAAAGTACTTTCGAGATAAGCAGTTTATGTTTGGCTAATTAATTTGGAAAATATTTTTGAATAATAATTTGTGTTTAGCCAAATTTTTCAAATAGTACTTTTAAGTATCAAATTATGAATAAATACATGGAGAGATTTAATTAACAGTTAATATTAATAAGTAAATAAATAATCTCAAAAATTTATTACAACAATAATTAAGTTTTTTAAATAATTTTATTCAATAAAATATGAAAACAAATTAAAAAATACTTTAATTCTTTCAAGATGATTAAAATATATCAAAAAATCATTCAACAAATATAAAATCATTCCCCCATAAGTCACTACAATAAGAAGAATTATTTATACATTAATATCCTAAGTATTAGGTTTAGAATAAGTAATATTACTTTGGTATATACAATATTTTGTTAAGGTTGATTTTTGGCAAGAAGAAAGTTAAAATTTCTTCTGCTTATGGAGAGAAACTATTTTTTCTGATTCTTAAAAAGTGCATCTGTTTCTTCCCAAACGCATCCTCCCCCTCCCCCCCCCCCCCC